CTAAGATGTAATTAACTATAGGGGCTTGCCCCTATAGGAAGCTTTTCCCGAACCCAGCATAATATAAACCCTATTTAATTCCTTATATTAAATAGGGGAATTTGTCGGCCAATATATTGGTTTCGCAGACCAAACAGATGTCATAACTTTCTCTAGTTTATTTGATCGAGCCTCACCCTCAATTCTTGTGTTCATCCTTCGGGATAAATACAGGATTTGAGATAAAACGCTCTTTCATATAAACTATGAAAATTATGGGGTCAGTTTAACTTCATCTTTTTCAAAAATAAAATTTTTTTAAGCGTCCTTCCGAAGCGGGCAACGGGATTTCAATTCCGACGACCGATAGCTTCTTATAGGCAAACCCCACACCAAAAATAGTGCCGACAATAACGAAATATTCAAAGATCAATTAAAAATAATATGGGACTCCAGTTTTAACAAAATTTTAGTCAAACTAACTGACTCGATAAGACAGACACAATGACACTTCTAATCCAAGTCAATTCAAGCTCAGATTGAAGTATTAAGCTATTTTTGGAAGCTTCTGGTGTCCAATTGAAAGATCAAATTGATTCTAAATTTAACAAACTTATAATCAAATCGAGTGTCTCAACAAAATAAATCTAATGAGCTCAAGATTGCTCAAACTTAAGGCCTACAAACATTATCACAACTCGTTCAACTCTCAACTCCAGCCTCTATTCATCCAACTTCCAACTCTAGCCTTTACGGCCTACGAATGTTATCACAACTTGTACAACTCCTAAATCCGATCAATGTGGTCTACGAACGTTATAATAGCTCATACAACTCTCAACTCCGGACTTTGTGACCTATGCATATTATCACATCTCATGTTGCTCACAACTTTAACTTCTGTGGCCTACGTACGTTATCACATCTCATGCAATGTCAAACTTCTGCCTATGTGACCTACAAGGGTATCACAGCTCATGTAGCTCCCAATTCTAGCCTTTACAGCTTACAAAGGATATCACAGCTCATGCAGCTCTTAACTTTGACCTCTGTGACCTACACATGTTATCACGATTCATATGTCTCTCAACACCGGTCTCTTCGACCTACAAAATTATTACAACTCCCCACTACAAAATATGAGACCGATTACGACTTACGAGACCAACAACTCTTGCAGCTCTCAACTCTAGCTTCTATGACCTACAAACATTATCATAGCTCATGTAATTCCTAACTCCAGGCTTTGCAGCCTACAAGCATTATCACGACTCACCACTACAGCATGAGTACGGCCTACATGGCTCACAGCTTCCTACTATGGTCTCAACTCTTAAAACAACCATCTACAACTCACATGACCAACTACTACCAGTGCTTTCAACTACGACACCTAGGATAAGCTGACATTACAGTTGTCATCTACAATATTCAAGATGGACTACTGCCTCCATCACAATCAACTCTGGCCTTCACGACCTATTATGATTGTTGCTACTGAAATATCATTGTACATCAACTTTCCATATTCACCAACCTTGGAGAAGAGTAAGTCTGATTACTCACCATTCAAAGTGGATTATTTCAACAGAGTTAGACCCAATGATTTGTTCCATTTTCTAGCATTTTTCACATAAAAATCGAGGTATCTCCTCCGGCTTACTTCACTTTAGTTATATGATTCTCTGTTAGATTTTTCTGCAATGCTAAGATACTAAATAATCACTCAACCACTGCAAGTCTTCTGGAACACATCAAAACTCAAATATTCAATAAATTAATATTAAAAAAATATTTTTCAAATTTTTCATTAATATTCGCAAAAAAAACTTTTAATTAATATCTTAATTTAAATAATATATAAGATATTATTTAAATAAAATTTGATTAATTATATTTTTTTATTTTGCATTTAATTGTAATGTATTATAATTAATATCAATAATATTTTTAGATTAATTACTAGGTATATATTTACTATATTAATCTATATTTAAAAGTAAATAAAATTTATCAAATAATGTATAGTTATCCAACATATTCGGTCCATCACACTTTTTAATCTTAATTAATTTATCATTATATAAATATGAAACATTTATATATTAATTAAAAAATCCATATTACTTAAATAATAGCATATGTCTCAATCTTTTTGCTCACTAAGCTTACTCTCTTTTACCACTTTTTATTGGCCATGTTTAGCTCATATGAATGCTTCTTCTCCGTGTAAGCTTTTTTTTCTTTTTATTATTTAAATTAATTTATTTGTCATTAATAAATTTACATATTAATCTTATATAATTTTTTTTATTTATTTCAATAAACTAATTTATTAGTACTTTTTTATAATATTTGATTATAAAAAGTGTTGCTTGAAACTTAAATATTATTTTATTTAATTTGTGCAAATTAGTTAGATGCTTATTCATATTTTATTCAATTATTTGTTTGTTTAAATTTGTAAAATTATTTGTTAAATATTTTGTATGAAAAATCAATTACTTCTTAAAACTTTTAACTTTTTATTAACTATTCATTCAATTATTATAGAAAAGTGCAAAAAAATTAAAACAAGCCAAATATTAGCGTACGTGTGAAAGCTCGACTCGAGACAAGCCTAATCTAAAACATACTTGACTCGAATCACCTATAGCCCTAAGAAGAGGGAAAGA